GGACCTCTGTGGGAGTTAAACTGACCTCCACGTTCAAACCAAAGGAATGAAGCTCTGAACTCAAGCCAGAAATGTTCTGTCTGACAATAAGCTATAATCAACAAACAGGAATATCCAGGTGATCTGTTGTGTTGCCTAAATCTCAGAATCTTACTTTTTTTTTTTCACCGTCATCCAATGAATATAGCAATTAACTTTGACGTTCAAATTCTGCTGCTGACATGCCATATATGAAGAGTAATGGCTGCTAGTACTTGTAACAGTGCACTTAGCAGCGGCTGAGAAGATGCACTGGAGTTAAAGAGGAGATAATGGAGTGTATGCGTGAGAGGGAGGGTCAGATCTTTCAGCTGTCACATACGGTGCAACGCCATATTTCACTCAAACTATTTTAAACGTGTCCTCCTTTCTCGCCTCTGAGCCTGCTGCCACTATTTGGTGATTCAGAATAGTGACTCAGATTGTTTTAAACCATGCAGAGACTCGCTGTTATCTCAGCGCCCCAGAAAGAACACCGATATCTCCATTTCCTTTGAGTGCACATTCAAATACATACACACATATGCTAGGACATTCACACACTTACAAATACACACAGGCAGGCACACACACAGCAGCACTGTGACACCGTAAAGGTAGAAAACAAACACGCACATTTGCTGGTATAAATAAACACACAATCAGAGCTAAAAAGACGCATGTCAAGATGAGATGAGTGACGTGTCACATATTTCTTAAGGGACTTTGCATCAACAGCTGCTGCATCATGTCTCTCACACTCTCTGGACTCACTTCACAGCCTGTGATGATCTGTTCCTTATAGCGAAAATGAGCTTTAGCTACAAGACGGCGCCCTTCTGTGGTCATCCAGGTGTACTGCAAGCCTTCTAACCTGTATATGACCCTACTGTACACCACACATACATGACAGCAGACTGTGTAAGGGATTAGAGATTGGATTAGTGTCGGTTTAATTGGAAATCAGAGGAAGTAGAAAGCCAGCGCACGCGCATTTTACACAAGCGCTACCCTCCTAAGTCTGACAATCAAACACTCTACTGCTCTCCATATGTGAAGCTCTGTAGTTGGGTTGTGACGCCACAGAGTAGTTTTTCCTGTATGGAGGAATTTTTGGCACACCTCAAAGAGACTGAAGGAAGAATTGAGAATAAAAAAATAGTTCAATTGTTAACTGTGGTTTCATTTACTGCAACATAATAGGTATTTTTGTGTATCAAATGGTAGGAAATTCACAGGAAAACGCATAATTTGTCAAATGACATAACACAGTCACTGCACATTGACCAATCACAGTAAATGGTACACCCCCCAAAAGTCCATTCTGAGCCAGTGAAAGCTCTGGAGCAGTTCATCAACATAGTGTGTATTGAAACTCTTGATTTATGGTCATTTTCTGTTTGTGAAGTACAGCTGCTCCTCCAGCTCATTGTTCTCTCTACTGATCTCTATCCTGCGTATATCTACAAAGCAAATGTAACAACATAGACCAACCAGCCCACATGTGTTTTGGGAACTGGCAGAATATCTACGACATCGTTCCCGAGGGAATCCTATGAAGGATACAGTGGAAGTATGAGATACTGGGGGTTGTTCAAACAAAGAGAGGCACATTTGTGTTCTCAACACAAAGTCAAACACATTTCTGGTGGATGCAGGACTCCGCCAAGGTTGCCCCTCATGTCGGATCCAGTTTGTAAAAATTCTTGGAGAAGATCTCAAGGAGGGTGTCCTGTTTGGGAACCTAAGAGCCTTTGTTTTTTGAGGATTATGTGGTTCTGTTGGCTTCATCAGGCCGGTTTTAACCCAAGTATGAAGTGGCTGGGATGGAAGTCCAAGTCTCAAGTTCTCTGCTGGAAACTGGTCAGTTGCTACCTCTGGGTTTGGGTGGCCACAAACTAAACAGTTTAAGCATCTCGCGATTTTGCTAACGACAGAAAAATGGAGTGTTGATGGATGGACAGTTTGGGGCAGCATCAGCATCCATGTAGGCGTCATACCGGACAGTTGTAGTGAAAAAGAAGCTGAGGAAAGCTCTCGATTTACCGGCCAAATTTAGTTCCAACCCTCATCTATGTTAACGAGTTCTGGGTAGTCACCGAAAACAGTCAAGATGAGTTAGCACCATAGGGTGGCTCGGCTGAGTCTTAGAGATAGATGGCGGAGCTCGGACATCCAGAAGGAGCTCAGAGTCAATGCTCTTTCACCTGAAAAGGCACTAGTGAGGTGGTTCAGGCATCTGATTGTCTCCTGAGCACCTTTCTTTGGAGATTTTCCAAGTATGCCCAACTAGGAGGAGACTGCAAGGTAGACCAAAACCTGCTAGAGGGATTATTTATCTCATCTGGCCTGGGAATGCCTTGAGATCCACCAGGAGGAACTGGAAAATGTTGCTGGAGAAGGTACATCTGTAATGCCCTGCTTAGTCTGCTGCCACCACAGAAAAGCAGAAGAAAATGATTTGATGGAAGAAAGAGGTAATCATACTTCATCAAGTGTTACAGAACAGTCTTTAAGTCTTCATCAGAATACTTGATTTATTTGTAGCTTTGAGTCAAATCATTGTAATTGTTCAGCATAACATTCAGCATACTATAAATATAGAGTAGTGGCTGATCAATAGCTTTAATCTTCTCATTTAAACCACTGTGTCAAATGGACATAGTGTACCTATCAAACATACGTGTCTAATACACATGAATGAATGAGTTTTTCGAAACCTTGTTGGTATTCTCTGTTGAAATTTTTTAAAAAGTGAAGCAACAACAACTGAATGTAGGAAACCACAAGAGGAAGCAGTCAGTGGTATCATGACTATAGTCGATATGCAGCACACATCAAAGCACTGGCATTTCCTCTTTTTCTCACCTAAGTCACTCCAAAACAAAACAAAACACAGTTTGAACAGAGGATTTATGACAGAGGCTATTCATCTATCCATCCATCCATCCATCCATCCATCTATCTGGCTTTATTCTAGGTGTAGCTGTTGATTTGGTGGGTGATTCATTACCTCTAATGGAAGATGATGGATTAGTTTACTGTATTTCTTTCACAAATGAGTTTAGTCGGCCTAGCAGAACAGCAGATTACTCTGCTGTAATTATCATTAATGACTCGTAATTAAACAGCGTCAGGGCGTCGCAGGGGGACATGAGCTCAATTACTAGCTGCGTCAGAGCCAACCGTCCTGTCTCCACAGCAGCTACACAGCCTCCTACATCAGCTTCTCTCTTATGCTGCCTTCAGCTGCTGTTGGAAATTTGACCAGTGAACCCTGTTATTCTATTTCAGTGGCATTTGCTCGTACGCCACACATTTGGATGGTGTTGAACTGCACAACTGATGCCTGAACTGCTGTAAATACTGTTTAATCATCACATTTATTATCTGTATAATTGTTTTAATGCTCATGCACGCATTTTAGGCTTTATTCTTGTGTTTTGTTTTGTTTTTTTACCTTGGTTGTCCTCACTGGTGTGCACATTAAATTAAAAAGACATTTTGCCATGCTGAATGTATCTTTCAACAACTTCCTGACAACGTGCTCCTCTGTAGGCCTTTCCTGTGGAGGTTTTGACCACTAGTGTCATGAGACTTCAGATTCATATGGAAAATATATTTTTTCTTGTATGCCAACTGAACCCATAGACAAGAACACACATGCAAAAGAACACAAAGTATGCAGTAAACATCTCATGACCACTTTCACTGTTACACAGATCAACTGTTGGTGGGCTTAACATGCCAGAAATGCGACAATGTCCCCACAAAGGCAGGGAAACTTAGAATGATAAGCGGTAAACATGCATGTAAACAATGCAAATTTAAGACTGCAAATGTTTAGTCAGGAGGGAAATGAACTAAACAAATTTGTTTAACTTTATAGCCTGCAGAAAGTGCTTTTTGACAACAATTACTCTGTGTAAAGAGGGTCTCTTGACCCTTAGGCGTCAATTTACAAACGTTACATAGAGGTCTTTCAGGACAAAAATGACAAAATACTGCCATAAAAATGTTATATATTGATATTATTTTCTATTTTGAATGAATATTGATTAAAATCTGAATCCGTCTTGATCACATCTACCAAATGTCCATTAGTTTTCAGGATTTTATCCCTTTAAATGCCAGTTTGTTTCCATGGTGCCACTATTGTTTTTATGGACACACACACACACACACACACACACACATACACAAATTAATTATTTTAAATATAAAAAGTGCAAAGTGGAAATTGATTTTTTTTATGATTGTCACAATCTGGGGTGTGTCAGTGATTACAATCAACACTGATTCTGATGCCTAATTTTTTAAAGCAGTGTCAGCTTTAAAAACAACAACAAACTCACACTCCTAAAGAAAATATCCTCCTACTTTTTTTTTTTTGTTTTATATATTTTCCACTTCCACTCCAAAGACCATTCTTTAAAATCTAAATCCCTTCTCATTACAACCACCTAATGTTCATTCAATTTCAAGATTTTGACGCTTTAGAGGCCAGTTTGTTTACATGATGCCACCGCTGTTCTTTTGTGAGAAAACACACAAAAATGAAATATTTTCAATATAATTTTTTTAAATTGTCACAGTCTGTGATGTGTCCGTGATTGGCATAAATAGTTAGTTATATTTTAATTCAGTGTCAAAATAAAAATAATAAATAAATAACAAAAACCACACTCCGGACCTTAAAGACAAGAGTATCCAAGTCAAAGAAAAGGCCTAAATTCCACCTCAAAGTGCACACATTTACCAAAATTGTATGGCATACGCATGAACACAGCCAAAATGATCTGGCCAAAAACGCCCTTCTGCCACTTGAACGTTACATCGTCTCAGAGTAGGTTTTTCCGAGCGGCCCCTGAACGCAGCAGAGGCTCCGTTCAGTTGCAGGAGATGCTTTGAGCCGCAGCTCGCTTCACTGCGCGGGCGCAGCGGAACATAAAAGAAAACAATGTGTAGGAAGAGGACAGCTGATTCTCCTCACTAACACTGACTGATCATGGCCGGTCGGTGGCGAGACGGTCCTCGGGTCTGTCCCGGAGAGCACGCCGGGGGCCTAAGAGCGGCGCCCCGCAAACAAGAGCCGGCCGGGGAGACCGAGGAGTCGCAGCGGGAGATGCCGCGGTGGATGCGGCTGTACTTGTACGGGATGCACGGCGTGACTCTGGATGTCCTGCTCTCATCTCTGCAGCGCGTTTTTAAGTATCAAGACCCCAAACTGGTGGGCTTCTCCTCCCCGTATCTCTGCGTCCTGCATTCCCTGACCCACTTTGCGCTGGAGAAGATCTACTCTCAGAGGAGGTGTTTCCGAGGTCGGCCTGTGGTGTTCCACCTGGTCCTCTACCCGTCCATCTACGTCGGGCTGCAGATCCTGATCGGGAGCGTGAAGTCGTGGGGCGAGCAGGTGAGGCTGCTTTCCTGGACGCAGCTGGCGGTGCACTACGTCCTGGCTCTGTATTTCTCTCAGGTGTTCCTCAGAGGGATGTCAGCTCTGCGGTATCAGCCCTCCTGGCTGAGCCAAGTCACCCAGGAGGGCAGCTGTCACGGCCGGAGACATCCACAAGGTCTCCCGGGCTTCGCGCGCTTCCTGTTCTTCGGGATGCACGGTTTCCTGGACGAGGTGCTCTTCACGTCCATCTTCAACCTGGTGGAGAAGTCCGATCGGAGTCTGAGCGGCCACACGTCCCTCTGGTCCTTCCTCATGTACGGCAGCTGCAGCTTCGTGGTGGAGAAGCTCTACCTGCACCTGCACTTCAGCCGAGGCTGGGGGACCTGGAGGAGGCTGCCCATCTACATCTGCTTCATCTACACCTGGGAGTTCACCTGGGGGCTGGTGCTGAGGCAGTTTGACGCCTGCTCCTGGGACTATTCCCACTATCCACACAACTTCATGGGACTGATCACCCTGCTCTACCTGCCTGGATGGGTCCTGCTCAGTCTGTACCAGGACGTGCTGTCCAACGTCCTGCTGGGGATCAAGTGCACCAAAGATGGGAACGAGTCCAATGGAGAGGTCAACGGACAAGTGGAGTCAAAGAAAAAACTGTTTTAAGTTTCCGTTTTTGAGGGTTTTAAGCACTTCTCGGGCACATATTTATTACTAAAGTGACTGAATGAGAATAGACCCAGTAGATTTGGGTGCACATATCAAAAATATTTAAGATAACTACTTTTAACTTCATTTACTTTAGGGCAGGAAATGCATAGTTGAACACAGGATACAGCGGTTTACATTGGAGTCTGGACACTTGTCTAGCAGATGAGATGTTTTCCACTTGTCAACTCTGCCAGGTCTGATACTTCAGGGTCCATTAATGAAGATAAAACCACACAGGACCTTAGTTGTTACCTGATTTAAATTCAGTTAACCTACTGCCATTTTTATCTACGGGATGTAGAAAACTGTGTAGTTTTAGCCACTTTTACATGTCTTCTTGACTAAAAAGGTGTGAATATTCCTTTTTTTTTAATTGATTGCAATCTTGCAGCAGGGTTGGATTAGCATGCTTAAACTGTAGCTCATACCTGCATGCTATAGCTACGAATAAAAAAACAACATTCGAAAAGGTTTAGATTACTGAACCGACGTCAGTATTTTAACAACAAAACAACTGTTCATCTTTGCAGTTTTTTTTCCATATTTTTACTCAGCTTGTTACCCCGAGTTATGCATGCTCAGCAACTATTAGAGAAGAGTTCATCCCAGTAGTACATGTAGCAGAGACAAAAAAAAACTTGTAGCTGGAAGTACAGGAGCAGCCAAGTGAGATTTTACTGTGAATTTTTCATGAACCAAACGTTACTTTGCTGGAGTGCCTTCCTGTGCAAACTGAGTCAGCCAGACTCGCATAAACAACACTAAGTGTCCACAGGGATCCTCTCTTTATCTGCAAGTGCTACAGTCACATATACTGGACAGGCTTGACTCTGTCGTGAGGGTTCGCTAAATCCCGGTAACGTACTTAAATGCAGAGCAAAAGCAATGAGTCTGTGCTGAGTGACGCTGAAAATTGCTCCACAAAATTAAAAATGCTATTGCTTTGGATATTTAAAATTAGAAACTAGCTTTTGTCTTAATTGAAACTATCTTATATCTTGTCACTTGCTTTATCTGTTTAAAAAAAAAAAGGTGCAAAATTTCAAACTCCTGTCAAATTCTACCCAAACATGCAACCAACACTGTGCCTTGGCAGCACTGGTGAGCTCTATACTGTGGTCGGTGTGGTGGAGTTTTGTGGTCAACTTGGCAGCTAAACGGATGTTTTTAAACATTTGCATTCTCTGCAACTTGACTAACTGACTTTGTCCATCTTTAAAGATTTTCCATGGCCGAATAACTGTATTTTAACTTCACTTTTGTGTTGTGTTGTTCACTTATATATATATATAAAAAAGACCAAAATCCTTTTGGTATGAAAAGCTGGGATAAAATGCAAATTAACGTAAAATAAAAATAACGTCTGACTTGCAGTGGCATGTACTGTATGACTTGCAATTTTAATTAAATATAAAATGTTCCTGTGACTAAACTGGCATTCCTTCTTTCTTTTCTTTTTTTATTTTTTTTACTGTAATATCTCCAAACATGTCTCCACCATTAAATAAAGGCATAAAATCTCCAAAAATGGAGCAGCTCAATGCAAGCAAACCTTGAGAAGTAAAATTGCAGAGTACAGAAGTGACCAATTCTTATCTGTTTTGACTTCCTTATTTGTTTTTTTCTGGGTGTGTATGCTCCATTAAAACATGAGCTACCCATAGACCAGCTAAAAAGCTTTGCGCGGGCTGGATCATAACACCGTCATGTTGTGTGTAGGCAACAGTTGGTGCTTTCCCATATACACATATTGTAACACAGACAAGTCTTGACAAAATACAAGAGGAGATTTATAGTGTTGCTTCTTTGGAACAAACACACACTAGTTCCTGGTGCACACTGTTATCTTATTACAGCTTCCTTGTTGAGATGCTGTTGTGCAAAATCAAACAAAACAGGGAGGAACCCAAAACTTTCACCAAGAAGCCAAAAAAAAAAATTAGGTGTCTATTGGATATCTGGCTTTGTCTTGATTTTGTAAGGATATTTATTTCTGTAGCTGTTTAAACGGACAAACCTGCGATCATCATATCACTGAGCTGGTGGGGATTACATGCAGATTTGTGTACTGTGAAGGCAAAATGATTAAAAACTGACAACAGAAAGAGGTTAAATTTGTGTCCAAAGTCTACATTTTATCTGTACTCTCTCTCTATCTTTATGACACCTTGGAGATCATTGAGACATTAGCAAACACACAGCACCCAGAGGACCCTGAGTGAATACACCAGTGACCTACAATATCAGCTGTACGCCTCAATGGGAATACCGCAAACTAACTCCCATGTAAAAGCCTCATTAGCAGGCTCAATCAGCAGAATATGACTACTGTGTGTAAACACAAAGCACGCTTTCATACATCGAAAAACGAGAGGCGAGACGCAACGAACCAATACTTTACATTCAACAGCTGAAAAAGGAAACTCGTGATGTAGTGCTGAACCTTTATCGGTTCGTTAACGAGCAAAGTTTCAGTGAACAATATTTCATTGTGAGAGAATCAAATTACTCACAATAATGTCAAAAACCGGCACCGGAACTGAATTTCTGGGGCCAATACCAGTTTCGGGGGTGAGCAATTGCCAATGTTGTTTTCATATAGATGTTAGGAGTTAGACTAAATAGGGAAAATGATTGGGTGACCGTATATTAACTTTCCAGAAATGTATATCACAAACTTGCAAGTTTCTATTAAGATAAAGCTTGACTCCGCACCACCATCTGCTAATCTGTGATATGTACTCTGCTACATGTGCTGCAGACAGTAGTGTAAATATTGCAAACATAGCCGCGATGTGATAACACCGTTTACAGACTACCTCAAGTATTTTTTACTCAATTATGCGCTGTAAAACAAAGTTTATCAGACAACATTCACACCAACGCTGATATATCTGTGATAGGCCAATATTGACCAATGATATCAGTCAGCCGATGTGTAGTTCAGGCTATAACTCTGTGTCATGTTTTGTAAATAAAAATGTTCATATTGGCATACATCAAACAACGTATACACCAATACAGATGTGTCTGTGACCAGCAAATATCGACTATAACCGATAAACTGGTCAGGCTTTAGTGAAAAATACAAAGACTCCAAGCTAACACTCAACGCTGCATTCAACACTCAGCCTTTTTTGGTTTTACAGCACAATTTCTGTACATTTATGTGCTCTTTTCACGCATGTTTCCAGCACTAACAAACAAGCAAAATAAAAAAAATAAATATTAATTTCTAGTAAACACACCGTAGACTACTTCCTCAATACCACACGGCTAACAGATATGGCTAGCCATTAGCTGCTTTAGCAAGCTAGCAACCAAGTTATTTCTCTCAGGAGTTGGTGGAGTCCAAAACACAGCAAGAAGAAGAAGACTAAATATTGAACTTACCTTTGTCCAAGTTGACAGAATAACGTCCCCAAACAAACGCCGAAGCTGGTCCACGTCTGCTGGATGTGGAAGTAGCTAACTCCATGCTAACTGTGAGCTAGCTGAAACAGTTTGAGAAAGTGACACAGTTTAGCTTATGGTGGATGTTAGCTTGTTGTTAGCATGAAAAGCTAGGTGATAACATTAACCACAGCTGTCTTCCATGTAGGTGAACTGGTATAAAGACACTTGTATTTTGCAGTCTAGCTCAATGTCATTGTTTAGCTGGAACATTTGACTACTTGAGGTTTTCCATTTTGTTCAACTTTATACATCCAGTCCTCTATATGTAACAGCCAAATGCATTTTAGTCCACTTGTCTGACAATTTAAGTTACTTTTCAGAGTATATTTTTCAAACCTTTCCTGCTGTCTAGTGAAAACACATGTATGTCCAAGGTTGGTAATTCTGAATTTTTCTGACACACCATATTGGGAGTTATTGGCATACTTCTTAAGATATCGAAAACTATTCAGAAAAACTCTTGGATTAGCTGGAAAATGCTCGAACTGACCATGGAAAATATGCATTGCTGTAGATTAAACCACACAACGAAGTATATAAAGTAGCTAAACATCTACAGCAGTAAAATGCAGCGTAAATATTACTGCAGTTGTAATATTATTCCAAAAATGTCGGGTATACTAGTAAATACTGACAGGGAACTTTTTAGAGGAGAATAAAAACTTTAATTTGTATTATCTTAGGTAATTTTGAATTATAATACTCACATTTTTGTGGTGTGGTATTGCTTTTCCGAGTACGTACAACAAAACTATAAAGGAAGTCAAGGGAATGTATCTGGGTTCTTTGTGCCATTTTTTTTGCAAAATATAGAAGAAACAGGTACTTTTTACATCAAGGAGAGCAAATCTCTGGAGTACAAATGGCGCTGGAGCACACTGCTCAATTCACAGCATCAGGATTTCAACATCACTGTGTCTTCTTCAGAGTCAAAATGGACAAAGAAATGAGCCAAACACATATATTCAGCCTAAACCAGGTGTGTAAGTGTCATTGGATAACTGGTTGAAGGACTTTAAAGCTATTGGATAATGAATTTAAAGGTGGGTGTTGCCGTGGTCAGTGTCCAAGTGCCACACCTCCAGTACCGAGTCAGAAACAAAGGAACTCAGGCCTGTCTTAAAGTTACAGAGATCCACAAAATTATCAGAACAAACAGTCCAGAGGAAGCATCACAAATCAGAAAACATCAGAACAAAACAATCCTCTCATAAGGTACAGAAAACAGCTCTAAATATCTGTCAACTTCAAAGAAACACGACAAATTCAGTTCTCCACTTAGGCTGAACAGCTTCACTGTGTTTGAAAAGCGGATCTAACATGTCTGCCTGCAGAGCAGTGAGTTTAAAATGTCACCACCTCCAGCAGAAGGGACGATTTATTCTATAACAAAGAGCGTTAATGATGCTGCAGAGACATGGTTAGCCTATACATAATGTCAGCGAGAGCATAGTCTATGCTTTGTGTACGTATTGCAGTATTAAGTTCTCATATGCAAGTCTTTCTGTTTGTCCAACATCCTCCAGACCAGAGAGACATTTCAACATATATGTAGCACATGTGCTGCAGCAGCCGA